CCTTTTTTCAGTAATTAAGAAAAAACTCTTGCTAGAGATTAGACAATCTTTATAGTTTTCAGATAGGAGAATTACAAGAAATGGTTTTAATGAATTTCCCAGTCTTATATCATAATTAATTTCCTGACGGCTCTCTTCACGAAATTAATTATGATGTAAGACTGGGAGAAACTATGTTCGGTACAGTTTCCAAGTTTCCTAGTATTTATAAATTGTTAAACCAAATATTGAAAATGAATAATTTGGTAAAAGGTAGAGTAAACGAAAATATCATTGATGTACGAGTATAAATTTTTTTGATTTTTGTCAATTTGATATTAAGCTATTTCGATAAAATTTAAATGGAACCAACTACGGTTTATTGAAGTGAGTGATACTTTTTTTAAAGTTAATTATTTAATATCTTTTAAATAATTCTTGGTAAGCATTCAAGGACACATAAATAATGCCCATTATGCCCATTAAAGGAGTGTCTTGAATTACTCTTCTATGAAGCTCACGTTACTCAACTCTTCACAGTTTATGTAAGTATAGTTTAGGATTTAGTTATAGAATCACAAATTTCATCACCATGCAACACCTAACCACTTAGTACTTGAATTTAGCCTTTCAATTTAAAGTACTCGAATATAATATGTTGCGAAATTCACTCACGATTCCACTCGATTTCGACAAGGTTGCTTTTGAATTTAAGTCAGAGACCGGCGAGCCAGCTTTAATTAACATGAGTCATTCAATTTGATTGATAAACGATCATATTTTCTTAGATACAAACAGTTCCACAGCTGGGCAAAACCTCAAGACGCGTTCTTCTTACGTATGTTTATTGGTGAAAGTAAAGTTTTTCGTACCTACGTAAGTTATATCCTTTAAGAGAGTGATAAAAAGTAGTTGAATGGCAATCAATGGCTTTGAATATATTAATAACTAATTGTTTTTAAAGTAAGAACCAATTTTCCTTGACCTGACTTTGTATTTAAAGCGTCTATGACTTCTTAACTTGCTTCTAACATCTTTGAGACTTATAAAAAAGTATATTCAAGTCTAAAATAGAGCCAAGCAAGAATTTCTTAAATATTTTTAAACATATATTTAAGAAAATATAATCATATATTTTCTTAAATATATGTTTAAAAAAATATGCCCTAATTTACATCTTTAATAAATAAAACAAAGACGGGTTACATCATTTATGACGCAAAAACAGCTTTTAAGATAATTTAAAAATTCACGAAGACAAAAAACAATAATTCTGGCGGCTTAAAGGGCAGCTACGCCCTTGTGACACTTGTGTTGAAGGTATCAATGGGCGGCGATAATCACTTACCATCTGAGCCTCAATTCTGCTATTTTATGTTAACGTACAAGCCATTGTAATTCCATTGACATGCTATTCAGATGCTATTGACATCGGTCAAAATATCGATATTCTACTAACATAAATTCACAGTGTCAGAAATGTAGTGACAGTGGCTCATCAGTGACAGTGGTGATATTAACAACATTGCCATATCTAGCAAATTAAATATATCATTACATTACAAATTTGAAATGTACCATTTACCAAACTATTACAAAGAGACATCGGCGACATTTTTATCAGTCGCAGTTCAGTGACAAGACTATTCGGGAGGCTATTTTGGTATTACATAGTAGAATACAAAAACTGTAAAATTATTCCGAAGACATTCCATCGACAGTCTATTGCTACGATATTAAAATAGCAGAATTGGGGCCCAGGTCACTCGTGTGCTCTATTGGCCCTATACCACAAAAACAACTAGTGTTCCCAAGTGAATGCACGGGAAGCCGCAGCCAAAATTTTTTAATTTAAAATCACAACCGTTATAAAACGAGGCTACCAACACATATCAAATTAGTAGCGTAACCAAACCAATAAAAACGGCAAATTACTTTACTAATACTATGCAATCGCTGACCACTTCAATTCCCGTAATAGGTCACCGAGATAATAGCATGTGCAATCATATATGAATCAGACGCAAATAGACGCTTTTGACGTAACTCTGTCATAACTTATGTGTCGTCTCTCGTAGAACAAAGCTATCACTTGCTTATATAGTTTTAAGATACTTGGTTTTATTACAGTAATGAGTAGCTAATGTAGTTTTGACGCTGGACCATACAATTATTGTCGTCATTTGTACGTGTGTTAGATCACGCAAGTGCATTTTCAAAGGAATAGAAGTTATATTAATGTTACATCAGAAGACGCGCGTTATTAACTTTGGTAGACAAGTATTCTTCATGAAATAAGAATTGAAAATTACATTTGTTATTAGTTTTTAGTTATAAGTATTTGACATTAGTTGTTAGGTATGTGTTTTTGAGTGTTTTTTGTAACAAAGTTAAAATTACTAGCGTTAGGTTGAACTCGCAACCACTTAATCACAAGTACGGCATCTCACACGCTAGCAGCATTTTATTGTTTACTAGATTATCAAAAATATAGGTTCTAACAATCTCTTGACATCTTTTGTAACCCTACAAATACGTACCTATTAAACAAAGCTTGCCTATTAATTTTACATAGACACACCCATAAAATTCATAAATGAAACTCAACCCCTGCCCTTGCAGGCCGCCATACCATTTAAGTCGTCAAAATAAATTCTTACCAACCAAAATCGTACGGACTATACTTACTATTTTAAATCTATAATTATTTGTGTAACATTTTAAACAGTGCCTGTAGTCCAATTTGGTTCCCATTCACACTAGATAATTTCTCATGGAAACAAAACACAATCACGCTAAATGCACGTCCACTCGTTGCATTGCTATGATTTCGCAAATAGTTCTCAAGAACATTACTGCGTATTACCGCTGTATGATGGTAAAATACTGGTCAGGATTATTGCGTTAAACATGAAGTAAAATGTTAACCACTCAGTTAAAAGAGAAAGTATCTTTTACACTATATTAATAGGTAACTGAAGGTTTATTGTTATTACCTAGGTGGCTTTAGTGAGGTTACTGGAGCACAAACCCCCTCCTCTCCCTCCTCCTGACGTTGGGGGGGGAGGTTTTAAAGGATGGCATCGCATTTGTGTGTAGCTCATAAGTTGCAGGTGTCCTAGATGACGGTTAAGCTATATAAAATTAATAATTCACTGCTGGACATAGGCCTCTCCTTAGAAAGGAGGTTTTGGCCTACTATTTTGGTATAGGATACCACGCTAGCTGGAGGGGTTGATATAGGGTTTGCTTCCTTCCCTTTGCAGTGCTTTTGTCCTGCGTAGTTAGGTCCCTTAGTCGTCTCTTAACGATACGCACGGGATGAATAGGGGTGGTGACACTCCGTATTCTTAATCCATCACCACACGGATAAATACAATACGTGTTACTTAAAGCAAGGTTTTTTCTGGTATTATTTATTTTGACGTAAAAACAACATCAATGGGGCGCTCTCTCTAAGACTGTCTGTTTATTAAAAATATGTTTATTATAATATCTACATAAAAGTCCGCGATGGTATATGTATATCTCTATAAGGATAACTCACAGTAACCATTTTTATCTTTAAAACGATACAAAAAAGTTAAGTATTGACTAAGTCATTTTAAACATTATTATTCGTTATCCAATGAAAGATACGTTGTGCATTTTATGTAGATTAAAATTGCTCTTTGCAGCATATCATTAAAATGAATATCTTAGAAGATATTAGAGGCAGAGAATATTTCATATAAAGATGTCCTGTTTTATAGTCCTATCATAATAATAGTATAATTAATTACTCCACACTGACACCACATTAGTAGTACCTACATTGCACCCGTGCGATGCCGGGGCGGATAGCGATCCGCCCCGGCATCGCACGGGTTGCTAGTAATACGATAAACATAGATATTATCTGTTGAAATGTAATTTCCTTTTATTGTATTTTAATTTTAGGTCTAAAAAAAATAGTAGATATAATTAACATCCAATATAGTTTCCAAAGTCAAAATACACTCGAATTTAAAATTAATCAATACCTATCAATATTGTTGTCGTCATAACTACCATTGCCACTCATTGGTGTAATAAAACCAAGTCTCCTAGAACTGAACTAGCAAGTGATAACTTGGTTCTAGGAGAGACCACAATTAGTTATGACAGTGTTGTCAAAATCGTCTATTTGCGTCTGATTCATATATGATTGCATATGCTATTAAAATTAAAGGGGCCAGTGATTGCATAGTATAATTAAAGCAATTTGCAGTCGTTTTTATTGATTGTATTATGTTAATATAAATGAACATCTACATTGTTAATTTACCCGCTTATTGCTCTCAACATTACCAAATTTGATCAGTGATGGCCGTGTTCACTTTTACTTTTTTTAGTATAGCAACACCACAAATAAAGGCGGCATTTCAAAATAAAAAATGCATTTGGTAACTTGGATTAACATTTGTTATTGTCTACAAGATGTGCTAAGTACTATTGCGTTAGCGAAGTATATAACTTGATATTATGTCGTATTTATTTAATGCTGCTAAATGTTTATAGTTATTTCAAACTTTGACATACAACTGTTACAACTGTAGTTACAACATCGCGTGTTTATTAGAACAAGGCTGTTTGACGAATTGTTTTTTGTTAAATTAGGAATATATATCCTGTGTCTCGGCGGATTTATAAACATACACGAAACGAACACCCAGACTCAGAACAACAATTTGTAGACCACACAAAGTGGTGTCCCCTGTGGAGGTCGATCCCACAACACTGCGCAGTAAGAAGCGGCGTGGCAACCGCTTAAGCCACTACACCGTCCGTGCATTGTAAGAATTATATTAGATTAAAATTGTGTTCTTATATTATACAATACTATACCCGCTACTTTCATAAAAATTTTAGTTGAAAAATAATGACTACCTACAAGCAGGATATTTAATCTACGAGTAAATGTAGTAGGCCTGACAGATCAAATCGATTTAATACACAATTGTGTCAACAAAACAAAACCTCTCAACGTTAAGAAACTTAACATGTCGCAGGTAAGATCAAAACGTATTAGCGAAGACAACAATCATACAACACAAATCATACCATAACCTTATTCCTTTTTTAAATCTTAACATATTCAAACTAGAGTATAGCTCACGAGTCTATGGTAAAATAAAAGTATTTGAATACATCATACATTTCGACTTCCACTCGGACAAGGAGTGTCAGTTTGGCTTTCCTTAGTATACTTTTAATCTTATTGGAATGCCGGCGGACTGGTCGGTCAACGAAATTTCCTTACGTCTATAGCGTTTACCGTAAAACATAAGCGTACGCGAATTTTCGATATAAATAAAAATGCTAGGTCGCTATTTATACTAACTGGCACCATGCTGAGCTAGAGATCTTTTTTTTTCACACACAAATTAAGGGTAAACATTTTACTTTGCTTTCTATTTCTTTTTGTTTTCTAAAAGTATGTTACATTTGTACCGCCTTAGTGTGTGTAACAGAATAAATGTTTTCGTTAGAAAAGCAATGATTAAGGTTTAAGGAATAGCTATGCAAGGTATTAAATGTAGACTTTTTAAAGAGGGCTTTGCAGGTACTAAAAATTTAATTGAAATTAACTTAGAAATTTTCTCATACTCGTACCTTTACGTAGTTGAGTCTTTTGAAAAGTTTTATAACTATAATTTTTCTAGATGTAGGTGTAAACACCCCCGAGCCGTTATATACGTACCACCTGGGTTGTCAGTGTGTCAAAATTCAAAATAGAATAGGCACCTATTTAATAATATAGTAGTAACTAGTCCGAATCTAAGTAATATCAAAAATACGAGTGAGTTTGTTTATTGTTACGTTTCCACGTCAAACTGTTCAAATGGTCATCGTAAAATTTAGCACCGATGTAGTCAGGGATCTGTATCCCTAACTACATCGGTATTCTATATGTGGTGGTGGTCGGTACTTTTCTATATCTGTATATAGAAAAGGATACAGTGTATCTTTCATCCAGAAAAATATCTAAGTATTAATTATTGTTATGTAGTATACCTAAAGTAGTTGATAAAATCTACAAAAGATAAGCCGTGGCAAAGCTTCAGCAGTCATTCATAAAATACATTCAAAATGTTACACAAAAATATTACATCGCTGTTCTATTTTAATCGATCACATTCACTTCTGTCAATCATTGATTTGATTTACGTATTTATCGGTTCACAGCGTTATCGCTTCCGCGCTTAGCTCGCGCACGTCTGTACGGGCGGTTGGCCTAAAGTGGGCAGACATCAAGCCTTTTCACATTAAAACACTTTCTCCGTCGTTACGTTGTGTGTGTTTATACTCGCTTCTTCGTAATCATCATATGTTTGAATATCGTATTGTTGGTAGTTTCTACTAACTTTGTTTTTCTTGTTAAAAGGTTATCTTGTAATAGACAGCTATTAATTCAGACCATGCTTTTTCGTTAGACATTTAGTTCGTTTTTAATATTCAAGGCGAAAAACAAGCGCGTAGCTATCGTTTAATGTTAAGCGGTAACTGAGGGCTGAGTGCAAGTTTATTTCACATCGACTCGCTCTCAACGGTAAGCGCGTTTAGCGTTGCGATTGGTGCAGATTGCGGGCCAATTGTAGCGCCTCGCACTTGGCCCTCTGATGCCTACAGACATTTGTTAATTGTCTATTGCACTCGCTAGCGTCATCACCATCATACAGACGTAGCACATGACATAATTTTCGTTGCGTCATTATTATGGTTGATTAATGGTGGTTTGTCTAATCGTACAAAAAAGGCAAGTGCGAATCTAACTTCTTACTACAGGTTTCGCACAAACCTTCGTAGGCCTTACTCCCACCTCAAAGGCGGGCAAAACGCGCTTGTGACATCTGAGTTGCAAGCATCCATGTGGGATACACTGTCTGTGCGCTTTTCAATAAAAATGTTGCCTTGCATAACCAACCTATCTCCTGCGGTATTTCCTGGCCAGTAAGGCTTGGTAGCCTTCACTTAAAAAAACGTACTCAGCGTTGTAGCCACCTCAAAGACCGTTGACGCACTCTGCCAGACTGCTAATTTGCCCCTAACTATGTCATAAAAAAATTGTCTATAGAGGGTAAAGTACGGCATACAACGCAGGTTACCACATGCAACTCTCACTCATAAGATGATTATCGCAAACATGCCTTGACAAACACAAACAAGAAAAATCAAAAAACAAAGAATACCACTTCAATGAATGAACACTGATGCGCCGTAAAATCGATTCTATTCAGTTAGTAACACTACGATATTGTAGGTGGGTACATCACTATAACGTGTGAATAACGCTCCCCGTAAACAAGACAATGTTTTTTTTTAACTAAACCGTGGTAAACCGTTTGTTCTTAACGAATTTGCAATTAGTTTCAAATTAATTTTATAACATTTGTGCTACACACTTATAAACTTTTATCCAGGAAACTTCAAACAGAAAAACCATAACTCAAGAAAGAAGCATTATGCGTGGTTTTATTTATTATTTAAAACCACAGTAAATTATAACTAGTAGCTACAATTATTCACGTAGGTAGATGTTCAGGTGGCATACTTGACATTAAAATTCCGCTTTCGGATACGGTTAACTACTCTTAATTTATTCCGGCAAAAGTTATAACTTAAGTAAAAAAGTTTTAGATAGTTTGATGCTAGCATATCTATTATATACTTCGAACCCCGAAGTTTCTTGTGTAAAGGTTTTTGATGTATATGATATTATCAATTTTAGACAAGTGCCGGCCATCTAAAAAAATATAACAATCGATATAAAACTATTATTAACGAAATTGATTAATTCGATGTTTTTTCTTTCAGGTCACAGCCTTGGCTGTGCTCAGCATAGCATTAGCGAAAAATTCGACGGCAAAAACGAAACCGAAACGACAGTTAGACAACATAAGATCGCCACAAAATTTACAGTATTCTCTTGTATTGCCACACTCAAGAGTACAAAATTTTAGAGCACTGACAAATAATCGTAGAATTTCACATGGGCCGACAAAAGGAAGGTTACCACCCTATGCTGTCCAAATGGAGCCGGTAGTTCAATATTCGCAGAAGGATCCTCTATACGACCCGACACAAAGTAACATAGATGATCGTGTTGTTAACAAAAATGAAATATACGCGCAATCAAAAATTTTAAACGTTCAAGATGATTCTATCGAGGGTTATGGTCCTCCATATGGAACTTTACCAACGGCTCCTTTGTACAGTCATGAACCTCATCCTCATTACTACGAAGCTCCAGAACCAATTATTGAAATAATTATTAAGGAATCGAATGAAACACTGCCCGCACCTCCACCCCCACCAGTTCAGAAAAAAAAGAAAGAACCTGTTCATGTGTTCTACGTAAAGTATAGCAAGGATCCACATTCAAAAGATAAAGTTATTTATGAGAAGCCAATCCCTGCTATTACTCCACCAACGAATGAGGAAGATGAGCGTGAACACGAACATGGATACGTCACTGTGACACCTGAACCATATGTGCCACGTGAAACGACTACATTAAGAGCTATTATTAAACCCGAATCCGAAGTATATCATAGTGACAGTAGCGTAAAAATTTCATTTGGTAGTGAAAGTCATCATTATGGTGACCGACGGGATGAACACCATTCAGAAGATCACGAAGAAACAGCGCCAAAACCTGCCATTGCGCATCCTAATCAACCTTTGGAATCAACTCATCCTGCCTATCCACAGTTAGAGCGTTCTGTATCACCTAAACCTTTGCAAAACTTTGATTCTAATCCTAGAGCAATTTTGAGTCATCCACATCATCAACTTTCTCAACCTCATTCACAATCTTCTCATGTTTATCGATCTGGACCTCTGCAGGCTCAAAGTCGAATTCAATTTCAAGCCCCACAAGGATCCAACGAGCAGCAATTACCTAGACAAGGTCCTACTGTAACAACTTTTAGGCAATCACAACCTTCGTCTTCCCGTATTCCATTTGCACCGGCTCCGTCCTTCAACCCTCCTTTTTCGAACGGTCCTGTAGGCCCACTTACACATTTTAATGGACCAACTCCCCAAAGTCCAATTGGTTCACCATTCCCTACCGCATTCCCCCGAACAAATAATGGACCAACTTTTCATTCTCGTAACAATCCACCTAACTTTGCCCCAAGACAACAGTTTAATGGACCGCCAAGAGTCAGTTTCCACTCGGGACCTCAAAGACCTTTCTCGGCTCAAACGAAACCATACTTCGATGATCCGAAATACTTACAAGAAAACTACCACACAATAACAACTGAACAAGTTGACCCACCAAAACATCAACACTTACCAAGTAGGCCTCTCCATAATTTCAATCATCTTTCTCAACCCAACCCTAGTGCAAGCACGGTTCAGTTCCAAGACCATCGTCGTCCATCCCCAATACTTCCTCAAAACCAACAACTTCCTCAACACAGACCACATCAACAGTTTGTCGAAACAGCTCCTAGCAAACCATCATTAGTAATTAACCCAAGTCCAAGCACTTCTCCTTTCTTTAATCTTAAACCTTCTCCTCCACTAGTAGAAGATAACCGTTTACCTTTCCAACAGCATCCTTTGCAGCAACAACAACAGCAACAATTTAGTTTCCATCAAGGACCACAAGTCCTGCAACCAAGACCCACACAACAAGCTTCTTTACCACCACAGCATTCGTTCCCAGGACCTCTTTCAGCTTCACCCTCACCCATTCCTCATAACCAATTTGTTCCGCAATCCTCTTCTGCCTCTCTTTTTAACTTCCATCCTCAACCGTCACCAACCCCGGAAGTATTTCAACATCAAAACCCTTCGGAAAGACCACAGTACCAGCAGCATGGGCTATCTGAAAGACCATTCAGTCAACATCAACAAAATATTGGCTCATTAGTACCAAATGGCGGTGAGCTGGTTGCTTCTGTGCCTAAATATGAGCAACATATAACGGTTAATGGTCCCACAGTTCAGCCATTCAGAGGCTTAGGAGATCCTAGTCCTAGTCAACCCTCACCAACTCCTAGTCAGCAGGAACAGATATATCAACATCAATACCAACAAGAACAACAAAAACAACAACAGCAACAGAGACAGCAGCAGCAACAACAACATCAACAGCAGCACCAGCAACAGCAGCAGCAGCAACAGCAACATCAGCAACGTCAGCAACAGCAGCAACAGCAGCAGCAGCAACAGCAGCAGCAGCAACAACAGCAGCAGCAACAGCAACAACGCCAGCAACAACTACATCAGCAGCAACTACAAGAACAGCAACAACAGCAATTGCTACAACAACAACAGCAACAAAATCAGCAATTACAGCAACAGCAGCAATATCAGGATGAACAAAGGCAAGTTAGGTTACAGTTAGCGCAAAATGTACAAAAACAGCAAGAAGAAATTCAACGCCTTCAAGCACAGTTATTGATTACTCAACAGCAACAACAAAAACAACAAGAACATCTGCAGAACAATTACCAACAGCAAGTTGAGTCTACTTCCCCAAGATCACAATACATTCAAGAAAGATCCCGACCACACCCGACTTTTCCTACTAGCACCGCTTCCCCCCCATATTATCAGTCGTCTAGAACAGTTGAAATTAAACCGACTACCCAAAAGTATGCAAGTTCTACACCAAATTCAGTGAGTTCGACATCGGCACCAAGAACAGAAGAAAAAAAGCAAAAGAAACCTGCATTTGAACTTCCTGATGAAGTCCCTGATGACCTTCGTGAACAGTTACTGTCATCTGGTATTTTAGATAACGCCGATATTAGTGTATTAGACTATGATAAAGTAGGAGAGACGCCTTTAGAATCTTTGCCCCCTGACCAGTTGGCTAACTTCTTTAGCGCTGGTGGTGGACACCAAATTGCTTCGACTGAAAATAGGCCCGTATATGTGAAACCCAATGGTGATCAGATCGAATCTCGAATCGATGAAGATGTCGATGACGACCAGGAATTTGCTGCATCTGAAAATGTACCCAGTTTTGTTGCTCCTCCATCAAAAGACCAAGCTGTTGAAATGAAAGTTGTACATTTCGATCCTGCAACTCTTGAGGGACAGAACGTAGCTAAAGAATATATTCAAGAAAACGCAACTCAAATTGATCCAGTAGCATTAAACGATAAGAAGTATAACAGATATTTGCCTTTAAAAGTTAGCGGAAACCAGTTCCCTCTTCCAGATATCCTTAAAGGGAGAAAGATTACTTCAGTTGTTGTATTAGCTCCAGTTGAAACAGAGGCTTTGTCAAGTCATTCAAGGTCTGAGCGAGCGACAGACAAGGATAATTTGAAAGGCATTAGGTTTATAGCTGGTGAGAGCTTACATGAATTACTGAAGCGTCCGACTAAGGATAATTTTGAAAAATGGCTGGACGTTGAAAAGAAAACTGAAACAGACTTGCAATCAGTTGTCTTACTTGTAACTGGGTAGGTATATAAATATTATGAAATTGTTTAAAAGTCTTGCGGTAACCAGTATTTTACTAGTTTTCTTTTCTTTACAGAGATGGCGATGCTACTGGTGAAAAAGAAATCTTCATGTATGACATCGCATCAGGCAACGTAAACAAAATCAGTGGCGATCTTTCGAACGCTTTTGTTGAAGCTGCGGAGAACAATTCCCTTAGTAAAGATTTTGACTCACTGGCTATTGAGGGAGAAGGTATTCCAGAAAATTTTGACAAAGATTCTAAAGATGTGGCAGCGGAAGGATCTGAAAATGTGCCATTATTTGTAGACCTATCAGGTTTAAGTTTAGATCAGAAAAATGTAAACCAGGTGTCGATATCCTCAAGTTATAGTAAAACAAAACTCGGCAGATCGTTTAGGCGACATTGACATCTGAAGCGCCAAATTGCAAATGATTCTTGTAAATAGTATAGTATTAGTATTACTAAATTAAAAATCAACGCGTTTGTTGCGTATAGTCTTAATGTTTTTATAACAAAAAGTGATAACGGTTGTAAAATATAAAATAACTGCCTTTATAATTTCATTTTATTTAAACTGTTCTTCTCCATAATTGTATCTAACTATCTGTATGTTATAGACTCAGATCTCCAAGTTTCAAAATCGCCATAGTTTTAGTAAAATTATACAAGTTTGATAAACTATTATAATGGTAGTAGAATACTTCAACACTTTTATATTGGTCTCCTGCAACCTTGAAGAGTCCAACATTTATCTCTTAGAGACAGGATTTTTTGACAAACAATTACAAGGTATAGCCACAAATATAAGAATTTACAAGATATATGTATACCTTTTAAACAAGAAATTGGGAAAAGATCCACTGTGATCCAGCATTTGGTCACTTTAGACCAGTGCATGGGTGATAGGGGGTCAGTTGGGTTTTTGGTATAAGCAGTCTTCTTCAAATTTTTTATTAGGACATTAATCAAGAAATATTAAATAGACATTAATATAGAAAATATTTTTATAATAGTAATTTATATTTATTTTGTTCAGTAACAAAATAAATATAAATTAATATTATAAAAATATTATAAAAGTCGATATCGACGCGGTCTATGCCTTATTTTCTCTTCGTATTTCCTAAAATATTTTTGATCTACAATATTCGATAAATTTGGCAAATCAAAATTACAGAGAATCTTTTCTTTATAATTTCAACCAAAATGGTTCACTAACGGCAGTTACAGAAAAAAGGCTAATGTAAAAAACGGAAAATTCACAGTGACATCAACTTTGAGTACCAATTATATCAACTAATTTTAAAACCAAATTTTTAGAAATATAACATATTTATGAATAATATAAAAAACACTGTTCATCGTTGCTAGTTAACCTGTTATAAGATGGAAAGGCAATTGGAAAGGCAAACCAATGTTTGCCGGAATATTAGTGGTAAGTAGTAAGGTATTTAAGACCTTAAGACCTACCTACTCAAATTTTAAAACGCATAAGGACGCCATTAGAGCCGAGCTATTTTTGTTCATAGTTTACGAAGGTCGCTTTACGATTCGACTACATCGTGTACTATATGTACCGCTTCTACAGCTCATATCATGATTTAAAAAAAAATGGAGTCTGTAAGATAACACAATGTGTTTCTTACTACCAATCATAGATAGATCTCTTATGTTAAAAGATTTTTGCATAAGATTTGTAGGATTGAAAGTACTCGTATTTTAAATTAATTTACAAGTTTTTAGTCCTAATAATAGTTTTAGTAGGTCTTAATAATGCTATAGAAACATTAGCAGCCTCATTAATGGTTCCTATATTTTATCGCACTATGAACAAAATAAGTTTTACGAGTTGAATGAACTATTACATCAATTTAGTTGATTAATTTTTATCGACTAAAAATGAATCGAGTAATAGCATTTCACAGCTGGCAGCACTTAAGACAGCTGTCAAACATATGGATTATTTATGGTGGACGAATCGTGCCGCAGTGTGAAATTCGCAGTCTTTATTTTCTTAATGTATTTTGATATTTGTTTTGAATTGTAATCATGATGGAGGGTTCTTTAAGTAAATGGACAAATGTGATGAAGGGTTGGCAGTATCGGTGGTTCGTGTTGGATGAGAACGCTGGCCTGCTTTCTTATTACACGGTAAGTGACGTTTCATAGTAACGTATTACAAGATATATATTGAAAAAACTTGATTTATAAATGATTTTTCACTCTTGGTTAATCTTAAAATAAAATTATGATAAACTTGAATTATTCTGACCTACTAAATAGTGATTTCCTTGGCAAATATTTGAATAACTTTATTTTTAAAAGTACAACTAGGTATGAGACTACAGTTCTATTATATAAAAATAAACTTTTAAATGGACTGTACACGGCCTGTGACCTACATTAGGCGTGTAATGTATTTTAGAAATAAAAGCTATATTGTTGTGAACTCTTTTGTGTCAGTGTCAAGGTTGAGAGTTGTTTATGTGTACCATATATGCCAAGGTGAAGCAGAAGTAGCAGGTATAATGCCAATTAGAATACTTCTTTCGCCGATCTAATGATCTGATTTTAATATCATGTAAATAACTAATATGTTTTTTTTTAAATGAGACTAAGGAAACCATTAGAATTAATTCAAGTCAGGAATATTATGTTTATAAATATTTTATTTATAATTCTCATAAATACCTTAGTTATTACATATTATGTTTATTTATTAATTGTATATGTATAATATTTTCAATTCAAATGTGAACTGACCACTTATTTACTCAACTGATCAATAAAAAATTGTGTATACATTGTCAGAGGTACATAAAGGACATAGGGTAGGGTAGATTTTATGTAGGAAACGAAACTGTATACTTCTTGTGTTCCATTAGTTATTATACCATATTATTACTTAAAATATTACAAAAAATTTGAATGTTTACAAATTGCTTATATACCTCTTTGGAATTCCAAAATAGAAATAAAACACACTACTTAATTCTGCCATTGTCTTGTTAAGTAAATAATAACAATAATAACTTCAGACATGTCATACACATGCACCTTATCTTAAACTAGGCAGAACTTGTACTATGGTAACCAAACTGCTGATAAACATACTTATATATTTTGAAGTTAAACTTCTTTATACATGCTTTGTTTAGGGAGTAAGCTGGTGAAGGCGTGACGAAAGTGTTACGGAAAGTGTGATCAGGCGAGGTGCACAGAAATTGAGAGTGAGATATAACTTAGTGAAGATATAAAGGGAGAGAGTTATGTTATATTACTGTAGGTGCAAGAGAGAGAGAAGTGCGAGCACACATTTTCTTTCTCTCATAGCCAAGAAGTTTTACTTCAGTCATGTGGTCTAAAGCACACTTGTTTTTTTTTTTAAATACATACATATTATAGATAACTTACATCCAGAGCCAGAACAAATGATCATGCTCATCACACAATAATTTGTCCTGGCTGGGAATCGAACCCACATCCTCATGCTTAGCATTTAGGTTCAGTATTACATTTAGTTAGAAATTTACTTCATTAGGTTTGTCTTTTACAACTTATAAGGAGTATCAACTTTTTAAATACTCTTGTTAACTCCATTTTTATCTTGCTTGCTTTGTTTTGTATAGTTCTGCTTGTAAAACTTTATAAACATGTAGAAAACAAATATAACATTAAAGCAAAATATGAAAACAAAACCTTTTGGGAACTTGCAGCTTGGAAATAAAATTGGCAATAAGTATATGATAATCAGTGTGAACTGGATCTGAAAGAGAAACAAAACATTGATTTAATGTAAAAGTATTAAAATAATAATATTCTACCACAACACCACCTAGTCCCAAACTAAGCAGAGTTTGTGCTATGGGTTCCTAGACAACTGATATATAAACATACATACTTTTTTTATAAAAATACATACTTTTTTTATAAACATACATACTTTTTTTATAAACATACATACAGACCCAATCAAACATTAAATATTCATTTACACAAAAGTTTCTTGAGCGGGATCCCAACCTGTGAATTTAAGCATAGCAATCTTTTACACAAATGACTACCACTAGAAGTATAAGTGTTGTGAGATGTTGGGTATCTCGAGTGACAAATGTCAGTGGTAGTTTATGGCATTGTCATTGTTAATTCACCACAGTGTGCTTTTCAGGATGTTTTTTCTGACGAATTTCCAATTTGAACAACATAATTCTTTTTTCATCCGACACCATTCCAGAGACAAAAAGTACTTCTGTTGCATTAAACCAGTTATTAAACCCAGAGTCATTAATAAATCATAATTTTCCTGTATTTTTTCCACTGATTTATGGCTAATTTCTTGTATAGCCAGCCATCTGGGAATGCTATTGTTTCCAGATTGGTGAAGGAAAACGAACAAAGGAGTAAGGGAAACGTGTCTGAGACTGCAGTACTTTGGGGTAAGGGTCACGCATTCGTATGATTGATTCATCCTATTATTGAAGAGGCTACCAGAATAGGAGTTATCTGTGCAAAACAAATAAGTAAAGTAATAAATAAAAATCTGCTATGAAATATTTTATTCTGGTCAAACAAGAAAATAGAAATCATCATCAACAGTCTTTAATAGTCCACTGCTGGCCTTTCATAGAAAGGAGGTTTTAGCCTACCACACCTTCTGGCCAGACGGGTTGGTATAGGGTTCCTTTCAAGTTTCCCTTCTCTTTGCAGTGCTGTTGTCCTGCAGAGTTTGCTCTCTTAGTCGTCTCTTACGACACCCAGGGGACGAATAGGGGTGGTTGATAATCTTGGAAATTTGAACTAAATCTCAATTTAAAAAAAAAATATTAAAACGTTAGCCCTTCATATCCACTAGAAATATAAATAAGCCTACTATGAACAAATATGTGAATCTCATTGTTTCGCGTCCGCTTCACGTAAAATGCCCCAATCAACAAGTTATTCATACATTTTTATAGGCAACGCCCAGATTATAATCAGTGACGTAATTATTCACTGATTATTTTTATGACTATGTATGTATTTAACATCATTAACTTTCGTATAGTTGAGGTGCCAATTCAATTGTAAATATGTATTTTCAGCTGTGAGCCTCAGGGGTGCTTAGTCAACCAGAGATTTCCTTTCTAGGATACGGTGTTAGTCGGTTCAACTCCGACATAACCACTATGCCGGTCCGGTTTACCACCGGAACGAATATCCGCACAGAAAAAAGGGGTTTTTGTTTGTCAGCTTTTGAAGCGACCTTGAAAAAGGAGGTTCTCATTCTGTTGGACATTTATGGACCTATTTGGCAAATATCCGAATCTCTCAGACGCAGTGGTCGCGAACTTGTACCCGTCTTGTGAGACGTTTAGGTACATCTCTATGTCCTTTAACTGGCACATTTCAAGATATCATTAATTTTATAAATTTACAATTAGAAGTACATAGGGTTTCCGTTAAAAAGCTATTTTTTTTTTTTTAATGTAGGTAGGTATTTTGGGCTAATATAATAAATATACTGAATATTTTTTTGCACTATATTTATTTATTTATTTTGTTTGCTTATACCCAATTTTCTATTGAATTCAGAAATCCTTAAGTAGTAATCAGTCAAAGTATTGTCATTTGAAATTATGAAAGAAAGAAAAGCATTTTTACTATATGCCTTAAGAGAGATAGGTAAATATTTAGTACATACCATCTGCATAATAGTGAGCCATTTCTTATATTTTGCGAGGAATTTCTTCAATTTGGGACTGCCTTCGGAAGAGAGCAAATAATAGCTGTACATTATGACATGGACAGCGTTGTTTATCAATGGGACGAAGGACGCGCTGCCACCTGTAATAAAAAAGATTATGATTGTAGATTAATGAATTTAAAAGAAATGGCTCTGTGAAAGTTATCGCAATAAAAAAAGCAGTTCAAAAAAGGCATGCCTAGTCGGCTGTCCTTTTTAAAAATTAGTGAGGGACACTTTTTGTAAAAATCCAAACGGTTTTTTTTTTAAGTTTAGCTAATCTTAGTAAGGCTCTATTTAAGATAAAAACAGCTGTATTGGAAGTTTCCAAATATATCCATTTACCCTTTACCTATTTCAAAACCAATTATCTGAGACTAGATTTTTACGTGATTGAAGTCGGTAATTTATTAGGTTTTTTAATGTTAGAGGGGTAGACGAGCAGACGGGTCACCTGATGGAAAGTGACCATCGCCACCCATGAACGTCTGCAACTCAGGAGTCACAAACGCGTTGCCGGCCTTTTAGGAAGGAGTACGCTCTTTGTTTGAAGGTTTGAAGGTCGTATCAGTACGGAAATACCGCAGACGATAACTCGTTCTACAGATTGGTTGTACGGGTCAAAAAATGTCTCGAAAAGCGCACAGTAGTGGAGCGCCAACTATCCAGGTGATGAGGATGAAAATTTTGCCGTGTGGAACGATGGCGGAAAGTTGCGGCTGGTATTAGTCCGAACAATTCCTCGGAGCACTCGGTTTTTAAATTAAATTCTAAAAGAATAAATCTAAGTGGTTTTACTGAGACTTAGAATAAATTATACCGCTACCTAAGTTAACAATTCACCTTCGAACACCGATCTTATTTATTTATTATATAAATATTTAAGTTAAAGCATTTTAGTTTAATTAGTTGAACCACGATAGTAGTAAAAAAGTAAGAAAACTATCAATGACTAGAATGTCAACACACCCGCCTTCTGTTTAGCTTAACCGGAGATATAATCGTAGACTTCATATTTAAATATTAAGATCCACACGACAACGGCATTAAGCTCTTTCGGTATAGACTTATGCGATTGTCGAGTGGTTAGTGCTGACACAGAGATCGTGGGTTTGATGAACACCGAGAATACCACCCAAATCATTGTGTGATGAACATTCATCAACAGCTTTTAATAGTCTACTGCTGGATATAGGCCTCTCGGCCATATAGGACAACAGCACTTCAAAGAGAAGGAAAACTTGAAACAAAACCTATACCAACCCATCTGCCCAGCGTGGTATACCTAGTAAGCCAAAACCTCTTTTCTAAAGATAGGCCTATGTCAAACTAGTTCACTGCCTATATGGTACCTTTTATAATACCTTTCAAGGCCTGTCCGCACGGACTCGCCCACTCTCAGGTACCTAATAAACTCTTTTAGTCATTC